TATGTAAGGACTCTTTCTGATTTCCCACTCCATCCAAAATGTTGCAAGTTCATCTCTAAATTTGGAGAGCATTCGCTTAATCATTGCCAACGAAATTTTGCCAAGCTAATACACAAAAGGTAATGATCATTTTCAAAATAGCAGCACTCAAAATTCCATACAAGACCAATCTAGCTCTAAAATAAAAAAAAGCGGAAACATTGGCAATAAAACGTTTACCATTTTTGAGAAGACCATTTTTGCACTATTATTCTTTCACTTAAAAGATCAGAATCGCATAAACTTGGCATCCATATACAGTACAAAGTCCAAAATCCAGACTCATCAAGATTTCGGCGATTTCGGATTTGGGATTTTTCCAGATATTAGATCATCAATTTAAATCTAATAAAATGGCATGCAGAAATTATACAATGAAACATATGAAATCATAATTTATGAAATAAAGAACAATTATGATCTAAAGGATATCAAAATTTACAAAAAAAAAAGCTTAATATTTATTTGTTTACTTTATTAAACATTTCAGTAAAAGTATAGTTTAGGGTACCCCTTGGCGAAACTTGGCGATTTTTGGGGGTACATGGATACCGATTTTGTGCAATTCTTTGACTCGTTATTTTGGCTTGCGAAGCAGCGATTTTTGCAGCAAAAATCGCCGCTACACAAAGCCAAAATAACAAGACAAACAATTGCACAAACTCGGTATCCATGTACACATCGATTTATTTTCACTTAAAAAAAAAAAATCCCCGAATTGCACAAAAATGGTATTGCACACTCCTTTGACTTTATCCATGTACACGTCCACCTATTTTCACTTAAAAAAAAAAAAAATCCCAGAATTGCACAAACTTGCATTGCGCACTCCCTTTACTTTGTCCATATACACATCGATATATTTTCACTTAAAAAGTCAAAAGAGCACCAAATTCTACAAATACATAATCTCAATAAAATACATTTTAAACCAGACAATAAAATAATATAAAAAAAGGAAAAACATGTTATACATTTAAGTGTTACCAAAAGTAAATATTCACTTACCATAATTTTCGAGTTCACTTCGTACACCCAGAGCCACGTAAAAATCAAAATATCAATCATACTCAAATGACTTTTTTTCAAACTTTCTGATCGAATGCTTCACATACTGGCCATCTGAACCTTTCTTCCTACAAACCCATTCAAATCCATCTAAACGATTTTTATGTTCAACTAGATGCATATCCTTCCTCCATACAGGACACTTATAATGGCTACTAATGAAACCTTCATTTACACACCAGTCAATTAAAGTTCTTTTCCCCTTTCGCTCCAGATCATACAGAAACTTCAAATTAATCTTACTGCATTCGGCCATTCTACCGTCTAAAGAATCAAACCAACACACACCACAAAAACGCTTACGAAACGTCCCATGATTCAAAATTTCCCAGAATCATGCACCCGACTACGTCACAATAGGGTTTCCATAACAATTAATTATTCAGGCTACCATAAATGAAACAACTTGGCGATAAATCAAACAACAACTTCGCCATAATACAAGGGTACCTTAAAGTCTGCTCTACCCAACATTTCTTTCAATGTAAGGTGTTTAAGTTGCTTCCACGAAAAATTCAAAACGTTCCTTTTTCTTTTTTCTTATGTCATATACAGTTGACTTTCCAATACCATACTCCTTGCATAATTTTGAGACGGATATGCCTTTATCCATTTTTTGCAGCAATTTCACTTTTTGTGTAATGGACATCAAAACGTGGTTTCGCTTTGTAGATCCTTTGGCAGCTCCAGAATTGGGAATTTCAACATAATCGAAAGTTCAAGCTTAGTTTTTATAAAACTGCTGTAATAATAACAGTCTGCAAAAAATAATAAGCTGGATCAAACTAAAAGATTAGGGAGCAGTGCAGCTCGCTACATTAACTTAAATGCCTTAGAATCAGTAAATATAATTTTAGCCTAGATGCGTTTCTTATACATTATTGTTTGTGTATCACAAGATCGGCGACAAAAGCTAAGCTGCTTTGCTAAATTTTTTCTTGTTCCTATTGCATACTGAATTAAGCCTGAGTTGTACTAGTTTAGTTATTTACTATACCTACGTTTATTTCTTTCACATTCTTAAAACTAATCTAAGTCTTCAATAAATAAACTCCCACATATTCTTAACACTTTATCTAGGCCCGGTGCTAAATACCGCATAGTGCAGTTTCTATGGTGGCTTTGCAAATGCGGTCAAGAGCAGGAGACTGACGTTAATTATGGAAGGGGAAAGTAAACGGCTGTGTCAGGGATCATAAGGGGAGATATATTTTAAAAGAAAAGTGTTTTTAGGTCTCATTCAGTATCTGTATATCAGGAATATATATCGCACACTGGAGATAAAAATGTTTTTTCGTACAGTGTTGCCATTGCTCGCTTTGAAATCGCTGAGTTTGTTAATCAAAAATTATTTGAAGTGTTATAAAATATGAAATCGATACAATTTAAAACAAATTTTAAATTCAAATTAGGGCTTCTACACGCTGATATTCTATGGAAGATTACATTATTCAAATTTTGTTGGCTCTAGGTACCGTCGTTTTATCAAAACATACATACATTGATGCAGACTCTTTATTATTTAATTTCTTTAAATATAATACAGGGCGATAATATTTGGTGGCAACAATTTGAAAATGTACTCGACGTTTATAGTTTTCAACTCAAAATGCCAAAATGAAATTAATAATCCTTCTGGGCAAATTGTCCCTTTGAACTAATAATGTATTCTAAGAGCGATGGGCTGATGCCTAGCAGTAAGGGTTTGTAATCAAGAATATATTTCGTCGCGGCGCGCAATGAACTGGAAGTTGATCTGTCAACACTATCGTTATCTTCAGGGCAGATGTTTTTATTTTAGTCGGCTTATAATTCCTTACTAAATGTAGTATTTAATTTCGATGTACTGCGTCTTTGATATGATTTAAATCAAATTCCTCGTCATTATAAATATCACGAATACAAATCACATAGTTTTCTGGTTGCAATTTTCTAATTTCGGCTATGAGTAAGGTATGCTTTACGCATCCGCGCGTTAAAAGAAATGTTTAATAAAGTAAACAAATAAATATTAGGCTTCTTTTTGGTAAATTTGGATACCCTTAGATCATAATTGCTCATTATTTATAAATTACGGTTTCATATTTTTAGTTTTATAATTTCTGCATGCCATCTTACCAGATTTAAACTGATGATCTATAATCCGGAAAAATCGATAATCCGGAATCGCCGAAGTCCCGACGAGTCCGGATTAAAGACTTTTGACTGTATCTGTCTTTCTACCCCTACTTTAAAAAAAGATGTTATTTGCCTTACAGTTTCATAGTTCACTAATACATTTTCATTGTACAAAATTGCATTCCTTCAAAGAATTCAATTTGTATTTTCCTCTGTATAAAAACTGAATGTAGAGAAGTTAGATGTTTAAATGACCCCCACATTTTCTCAAGACAACGAGTAAGACTATCCCCTCTTTTTCAGCCCTTCCCCCCTGTGAAAAAAGAGGTTCTAAATTTACGACCTGACCGCATAAAGGGTGATTTCGTTTCTACGGATCCTAAATTCTGATGCAAAAGCACCTTCCTAAGTTTTAAATTTTCACAGCACCTAAACTTTGCATCCCAGTGTTTTCCTTAAATCTTAAACTTCTCATCCGTAATTTTACGGCTCGCTGCTTTCCCAAATTCCAAAAATTTCGTCTTTCCTAAATTCTGCCGTTCAGTGCCGACATATTCTGCCGCCGCTTCTGGGTTTATGGTGAATAATGTATCAGTTATTCTTAATTAAAATAGCACTAAATGTAATCTTTTGGCTTAAGAGTTTCATTAACAAAAATCTATTTTTAGCATATGAAAAGAAATTTTTGTTGAATGTTTCCTTGCCAACATTTCTTAGAACATTTAAAAATCTATAGTCATTGCCAAGTGTAATGTTACCATAAAAAGGTTGCTCTTGTTATTCAATTACTAATATCAAAAAAAGTTTAGACATCACTGCATGAGTTATTACTGAAGCTCTCATGTATTGATAAACATGCTGTGATGAAAGCAAAATATAATAATGACTCGCCAGGTCAGCATCAGGAATCTAAAATAAGTGAATGTTTTGGTAAGTGCGGCGAACAGTGGTAAATGGAGCAACGGAACGTTTAAGATGTATGGCAAGAAGATACTAAGGTATGTAGGCAAATTATTAATTTCACAAATTTATGATTACATGATTGCTTTTTCATAACGAGGTATTTTATTTAGTGCCTAAGTGAAAATCTCCAAATGTTTTATTATGGAAGGAAAAATAAAATGTACATGCATAAAGCATACCAAAAAAAAAAAAAAAAGTTTAAGCCTTCCGGATTTTAGATCATTCCGGATAATGGGCGTCCGGATTTCGCACTTTTTATTGTATTTTGAAATTGCTCACTCGCCAAAACAGACGTGCTATGTGCGTACCTGTATTGCCACATAAATACATCTTGGTGACATCATGGGAACTGTTTTGGCAACATAGCTCAGTGTTATGTTTTTTAAGTATATATGTTTTTAATGTCTTTATATAAATTGTATTTGAAATGTTTCACTTACTTTTAACTTTAAATCAATGTAATTACATCAACTTTCCAACAGCCATACATCTTAAGCTTATATTCTGACTTTATAAACTATGGAATAATTTTGATACACCATAAGGGCTGTGAACAAATATGTTTGAAAACTGCTGGATTAGGTGAAGTTTTTCTAAAATCAGTCATTTATTGGAAATAATATGATGTTAAACTATGTAACAGTTTCAGATATACTTTAAGACTGCTTTGTGTACATGAATTGTTATTTTTAGAAGCATTTAAAATATTTTTCAGTCAGTGTCAGTATTTCTGTATTTACACTCATATATCTATTTTATAATGAATTTCTCCTTTTGAATGCATGATTTTAATTTTTTTTCCTTTTTCTCAGCATCTAAAATGAACATAGTAAAGAACCTGTTATGCAGAGTTGGGCATTTATTACTTAATCTCATTCAAGCTATTCGTCGAGCTATCTGTTGCAGAAGAAGAAAAGAACCTGAATATATATTACCTTTGACGATTACTCATGTGGTTGACATGGAACAAAGCAAGGTATTCATTTTTAATTTTTTTTTTCTGTTTACAGTGTTTATGATGTGGCATTTGAAAGATGTGTAGCATGTATTTTTATTTAATATAAATTTTTGAATACAATTTGAATGTATAAATCTGATATAATGAGGAAATTCAAACACTTGCAAATATTACTTCAGAGTGCACTAAACAGTACTTTTTTTAATAAGAAATTTTTGGGGAAATAATATTTTGTGATGCTAATTTCAGTGGCAACTTTCATTAGTTGCTTTTTATTCCATTATTAAAAATGATCAGTCTTTTTTAGGGTATCTCATATTTTCAAACATCGAAAAAGTATAGTGGGTCTTTAGTACCTTCTTAATGTGAACAAATTGGACAGTTTTAGTCTTATTGATTTAACTGTCTCAGAGAGAATAAATGATTAAAGGCATTAGTTACTTGAAAAGGCTGATGTATACAGAAAATGCAGTTTTTTTAATCTGACTCACTTCATAAGCATTTTTTCCTCTTCTTTGACATCTGACTATAATAAATTATTCACAATCATGGGAGAATTGTCTAATTCCCTTTCTTTCAAGCCTTTTTAAGTTGATCAAGATAAAATTCATCTTCCTTTGAACTATTCAAACTTTAAAAATTGTCTTCTTCAGATAAATTACAGTATAGTTTTCCATTTTTGATTTTTAAATTGGAATGAATATTTGCTTTACACATGCAAATGATTTTCCAATGTCATATGCATTGATTGGCTTCTGTAGTTAATTTCGCTTTTACTTTTCTGAAAAATATAACTGTCATATTTTATATAAAAATTCATCTAGCTGAATTTCTTCTGATAAAAAAACTGCATTTTGTATTTATTACATTGGATGTAAATTTACATTACTTTGTAAATTCCTTCACAGTATCTTCATTACACAGTGTTTGCTCACAGGGACATGTGATCAATGACAGCAGAAGTTTTTTTTTAATAATGCAAAAATAACTACATCAAGTTATGAGTAATAGAAAATAATAGCATCAGTTTATTTTTTAAATTGTTGAACTTGTTTAATAAATCAGTTTTCATACTAAAACAAAATTTCTGAAAGTTACTCAGTTTTTGCCAAGAAAAAAAAAAAGGGGGGGCGTAAGAAAAAGAAGGAAAGAAAGAAAAACTTCAAATGTGTCACCAAATTTCAAAACTTGGTTAAAATTTACTCTACAGTACCCCTTGTCAAATAGTCTCTTTTTAGACGCCAAGATCGGCACCAATTTCAAGATGGTGCCGATCCTTCCGCCTGCTACATGAAACCAAAACAAAAAGTCAAAGACTTGCACAAACTCGGTATTCATATAGACATCGTCCTATTTTAATGTAAATAAATCACAGGATTGCACAAACTAAGCATTGCACACTGTCTTAACTTTGCCCATGTACACGCCGATCTATTTTCACTTCAATAAAATCAGGAAGTTAAAACTATCATGTTGACCACAAAAAATTTGCCACACACAAAGATGAACAAATGACCAAAAATATGCAGAGAGTGATAAATAACCAAAAATACATATTTTCTAACATAAAACATTGAACAATAAATCTTTTAACAAAAATTAACACACAGAGACGATTAAATAAATGAAACGTTGTTTTTTTTTAACGTACCTTTTTTTCGTGTGCATTACATTCACACTTCCCTCCTCCATCCTCCATGTAAGCAATTCAGTTAAATTTTTTGTCATTTCAGCTCATCGGCTGTTAATCAACATTCATCCTCTTACCCACCTCAAACATACTCAAATGATGGTACCCACAGCAAAATAATAGCAAGTTCAAAATCCAAGACCATACCACGCACGTGCAACTAAACACAGCAATTGAAAAAAATGGTAAAAACGAAAAACCCGCGTCCATATAAAAGGGTTACTATTACAAAAAATAGCCAAAATCTAAATTTATGAAGTCTCTCATTTGGCGATATTCGCAGAAATAACCCCCTTTTTAATGACAAAAACTAAAAAAAAAAAAAAAACCCAAAAGTTTCCCCAAGGCTAGTTTCATCAACATTATCAACATTAGGGGTACTGAAAAACCTATTTCACACAGCAGGCTTCCAAATTTCACGAACAACTAATACCACTTGACGATTTATTTCAGACAGAAACCAAGGGGTGTCGTACAGTAAAGATCAACTCAAAACTTTACTGCATGACTTTGATATGCTTCTTGTTCTGGCATCAACCATGGTCATAGGTATACAGTGTTCCCTTGCCACTTCATGCTTCATGTTTTGCGGCTTCAATGCTTTGTGGGTTTTCCCAAAATATTCATGAAAAATATAACCATGTCGGCAGCCACATTGCAGAAAGGAGCGTTGGTTGATGTTGATGCACGCGAGAGAAGGATCCCTGCATGTCAAACAAAGAGATGAGTTGACTCGGAGTACCATGGGCTCTCATAAAGGCGAGTGATTGGTTTCCGAAGTGACATCGACCAATGGGTACGAGTGGATTTATCCCTGTGAGTTTATTGTCTGCGCATCATCGCAGCCTCACCTAGCATATTCTCTTGTTGTATCTCGCTAGTCTTGTCCAGGATGTTGACTGTCTGGCATGCTGTATTTTAGCGTTGTGTTGCCAATAACGATTTTTGTTTAAGCGATAACTTTTTTTATTATTTAAGCCCTTATAATGCCGCCTAAACTCTGTGCCCCTGCGAAAGCTTCCTCCGAGGCGCCCAAGAGGAAAAAGATGATTGAAACTTTTAGATATGATCAAAAAGTGCAGAAGTTGTGCTTCTGTGGCATACCATTACGGGGTGAATGAATCATCAAGAAAGAGGAAGCAAACATCCGCAAAACTGCTTTAATAACCTTCAGTAAAGAAGTGAAATGTGCGGTAACTCCGCGTGATAACAGAATTGTGAAAATGGAAGCTGCATTGGCATTGTGGCTTGCTGATTGCAGGAAAAAAGACAGTGAGTTTGAACACTAATATGATCAGGACAAAGGCCAAAGCTATGACCAAATCTTGCCCGATAACGACAATGAAGAGGCTGAAGAAGGTGCTGACGAATCTCAAGCCAGTAATAGAGCTACCAGGAGTTATTTGCATCCTCGAGAACAAGGCATTTCAGCCAGCAAAGGCTGGTTAGAAAAATTTCAAAAAAGATACGGTTTCAGAAACGTACTTTTACATGGTGAGGCTTCCTCTGCTGACACCGATGCTGCTTATTGTTACGTGGAGGAAGAGTTTCCTAACCTCATTAGTAAGGGAGGCTTCCTCCCTGAACAAGTTTTCAACGTGGATGAAACATTCCTTTTTTGGAAGAGGATGCCTTCTCGTATATTCTTCTTCAAGGACAAAGTGAAGAGGCCAAGTTTGAAGGCTCACAAAGACCATGTGACTGTCATCATGGCTGGCAATGCTGCAGGTTTTATGCTTAAACCAAGCCTTATTTATAAAGCCAAAAATCCACGGGCATTAAAAAACAAAAATACGGCTCTGTTGCCCATGTTCTGGATGCATAACTTCAAGGCCTGGATAACGAAAGCTGTGACCCTCATTTGCACAAGACATTGATGACAATATGGTTTGAGCTGTCGAGTTCAGCAATTGCGTTGACGGGGTTATGTCCTTGTACAGGGGAATTTTGAAGGAAAAGAAAAAACAAAGACAGCAACTACTCATCACCATATTTCTGTCCAAGGTAACCCTTCTGGCTCTACCGTCAGCGCCTCCAGCAGAAGAATCTCTGAGTGAGCTTAAAGCTTCTACGAGTTAAGTGAGAGCCTCTCCTCCGCCACCAACACAAGACTCTTTGCCTCTCTCACAAAGCAATGTTGATTAATGTTTATTATTGTATAAGGTTTTGTAATTAACCTTATTAATTACCATTGACACCTTTAAGTAAATATGTATACTGTTGTAATTTTTGTCTTAACCTTCTAAAATCGGATCGAAATTCTCATAATATAGTCTTCAGACCGTCAGATCCGAAACAGTTTTGCCCCCTCTTTGACAATTTCCTAATGAGAAAAGTCGTTAGTCCCCCTCCATAGATGCAATGAAATTTACATGTTTGTCAGACGCTGTCCCATAGTAGATGGGTTGCTAGATTTGGGTTTTTTACAATGATTATTTTGCTTTCATTTAAATGAAGTTCTAAATAAATAGTGCATAAATAAATATGCAGTACTGGATGCCATATCCAGTGCACTATTTATTTAGAACAAAATGTATGCAATGTTATATTTCACTCACTATTTCTGATCAATCTCGTAAATAATTTGTGAATTTTTTAACTTTGTTTTCACTCTTCATTTATATTCACGTATTTTCGTATTAGAAATTGGAAAACGAGAACAAAATTGTACAAAATATAATAAATACGAACTATCTTTGCAAGTCTGCAGGCTGGAATGCGATTGTTAATAACATATTTTCATTAACAAAATAATGGTAATGACTAATTTAATGAAATAATAATAATAATATTTATTACCATTAGATGATTAAAATGAGATTCAATACAATTAGATTTTGAGATGAACTTACAGCAATAATAAAGTTTTACATTGCAGTAACGGAGCTTTAAATCTGCTTTTTTCGATAATTTTGTTATTATAATATAAAAAAGAAAATCTGAGATACATTGGTTGCGTTTCATCATTTAACTTTAACAAATATTACATTGGACTATAAGGCAATGGAGGTATATCTTTAAGGAGAATTTTTCTTTGTAAAATTGGCTTTTGTTTATGTTAGCAGAGAAAAAATATCCGTAAACTGTACATGCAGTCATCAAAAGAATTTTGAGAACAGTTTTAAATGTTCATGAAGAATTAATTATACGTCAATTTCTTTTCATAGGTAGAAATTTCATCTAAAAACATCATTATATCCAAAGGTTGAAATCTATTTCATTTTCAACGAATATTCTATTTGCACATAATATATTTTCTAATTTATTTTAGAAAGAGTAATCTTTCATGTTTTCAAAAGAATAAGGACACTGGGTGTTGACACAATGT